CGCGCCTGGAGACGTGGTGGCTCCCGGGGATCTCGATGGGGAAGAAGCCGTCGAGGGAGTCCACGAGCGACTGGCGCGCGGGGGGGGGGAGGGGCTGGTGGCGCTGGGCAGTCTGCTTCAGTTGGGGGGTCGAGCAGTGCGCACGGACACATCCCTGCCATGGCGACGGAGCGGACCCTGGTGTCTGACACCGGACGGAGCGTCAGATCTTGAGCGACGTCCGCGCTCGGAGGTCCCCGGGCCTCGTTCGTATGCAACTCGCGCTGTGGACTGCTTCTCGTGTGGGTCTTGGGGCCCGAAGCGGGACCCCGCGGGGGGTCAAGCCGGAACAGTGCCGCTGTGCGCGGCGAGGGGCGCCTTCCCTCTCTCTCTCTGCCTCTTTGTTTCTCTCTCTCTCTCTCTCCCTTCTCTCTCTCTCTCTCCCTCTGTCTGTCTGTCTGTCTGTTTGTCTGTCTGTCTCTCTCTCTCTCTCTCTCTCTCGAGAGAGAGAGAGAGAGACAGACAGAGAGAAGAAAGCTTTGCTCAGAGCGAGCCTGGGCGCCAAGCGCCCCGCATCCGTTTTTGCCTCGCGGGACCGGACACGGCCCATCACAAGCCGTGACAGATTGGCGCCGCATCCATCTTCAATACGCGCGCGCGCGCCATGGCCCCGAAAGGTCCCCGCCGTGAACGTCCCAACCCTCAGCAACCTGAGCCACCAGGCAAGGGCCGCAGAAAGGTAACCCTACCTGATTGCAACCTGCCTCGAAAGGGAGCCTGTGTCGCCGCACTCCAGAGCAGTGGCGGCGTCGATCGCGCAGTCGCTGCATACAGCGAACTTGCTCACAAGCACCAAGCCGAACTCGCCACCATTTCCCAACAACAGCGCCCCCACGGGCACAAGCCGAGGGGCAAGCTGATGAAATTACGCAGGAGAAACCACATCAGCTACACCATGCTTGACTACCTACCAGACCACCTCAACCCAACCCGAAGATCCGAATTTCGGGTTGGGGGGGGTATGGGCTCCACATGTGTTTTTTCGATGTTCCCGGACCCCCCCCTACTAGAAATCGAGGGTAAATCAGACCCTTCGGGTTGGGTTGGGGTGGTTTGGTGGGTGGAGATGCTGCGGTTGGTTCGGGTGGGTGGTAAATCAGACCCTTCGGGTTGGGTTTGGTTTGGTTCGGGTTTGAAGAGTGACGCAGCATATGCTGCGTCACTCTTCACTGCACCGACCTTACAGACGTGCTGCAGCGGATATTTGCGTGGATGTCTGTCAATGCAAAACCCCCGGTATGCCGGGCAAAAAACGAAGAGAATTTCGTGTGGACTTTTTGGGGGAGTCTTCATTCCTAGCCCCAAAAAAATCCGCACGAAACTCACTCCCAAACCCGGAACGAAATTCTCCAGGACGTTCCAGGCCCGTCCCATTGTTTTCCGAAAGACATCCGCTCTGCGATGTTGGCGCCATGAGACTCCCTGACGCACGCGTCGGGCTCCAGCCGTGACCCACCAAGGCCCCACGGCCTCCGCCGACGCCCACCAGGGCACCGGCACCGCCTCACCCAGCAGCCTGGCTGCCCAAAAAAGCTGGGATGTCCCCGCCGCTCCTGCACGCAGCTGGGCGGAGGACGGCACATCGCACACCACCGGCAACTCCCCACACACGCTGGGAGAGGGCGGCCCCAGGAAGGCACGAGAGGTCGAAGAGGCCCCCGAGAGGCTTCCCACGATCCCCCTCAGATGCATCCAAGAAGCTCCTGACCCACTCGGTAATTCCCAAGTTCGTCGCAAACACTCGCTCCTTCTGGGGGTTTGTCAGAGGAATGACGTAAGCCACTCGGGTACACCAGAACAAATGTTTGAGCAAGTAGGATTGAGGCGTATGGTCAGAGGCTAACTTACCATGCAACTGACCCAATCGTGGGATGGGGGGTCGAGAGGGGGGGAAATGACGTGACAAGACTACCAACACCTGCTCATCCCTGTTGGGCGGGCAGCGGCCGGACCCTGCCCCGAGGGTGGGTTGGGGGGGGGGGCAAATAGCTGCGGGCACACGCACTGTGCAAAGCGCTGCTGTCAGAAAATTGAAACCAAAAGACATAGGTAAGGAGCGAAGCCCCTCTCTTGCTCCACTCCTGTCGAGCCCTCGATGAGGCCAAGGGGGAAACGGACCGAGAAGCCGAAGGAGCCCCGAGCCCCTTCCCAGCCAGACGTGCCCCCCCGTGTTCCAACGGACTGCCTGCGCTTCTCCCCCCCCTCCCCCTCCCCCCCCTCCCCATCCCCCTTCCCTTCGATGAGGCCAAGGGGGAACGGACTGAGAAGCCGAAGGAGCCCCGAGCCCCTTCCCGACCAGACGTGCCCCCCCGTGTTCCAACGGACTGCCTGCGCTCCTCCCCCCTCTCCCCCTCCCCAGAAGTGCCATAAGCTCGCGCTCCCCAGCCGAAGCGCCTCTCCCCCCTCTCCCCCTCCCCAGAAGTGCCATAAGCTCGCGCTCCCCAGCCGAGCGCCTCTCCCCCCCCCTCCCCCTCCCCAGCAGTGCCACAGGCTCGCGCTCCCCAGCCGAGGCGCCTCTCCCCCCCTCCCCCCCTCCCCCAGCAGTGCCACAGGCTCGCGCTCCCCGGCCGCGGCGCCTGCGGAGCCTGGGCCAGGGTCTCCACCGAGGCGCGCAGGGAGATGGTGGACTGGCTGAGGGCGACGAGGACAGCTGGCCACGGGGAGGGGGAGGGCCCCGGGGAGGGGGAGGGGGAGCGGGAGTGAGGGTGAGAGGCCAGGGCAGGGGAGCTGACGCGGAGCATAGGGGAGGAGGCACAGATGGGGGGATCACGACGTGCTCCTCTGTTTCCAGGCCTCCCCGGGGGGCCGCAGTGGTCACGACCGGATGTAGCTCAAAACCCCGTCAGCACGGACCCCGTGAGCCGCCTGGGAGGGCCTGGGAGGCCCGCAAGGACGGCACTCGGGACAATCAGGACGCAGAGGGGCAGAGGCGTGGAAGTTACAAGAACGAATCGTGTCCACCACCACCGCAGCTGCTGGACCAGGGCGGGGGTCGGCAAAATACGCCTCCAGGCAGCCAAGGGTCCACCCACCGCCACGGCACAAACTGGGAGGGCGCGCCGCTGGATACCCCCGGGGGGGGGGGGAGCCCCCCCCTTTCCCCGATCCGTCGTCGGGGAAACCCCCCCCTCCCCCCTTTTCACGGTCCGTCGTCGGGGAGCCCCCCTCCCCCCCTCCCCCCCTTTCCCGGTCCGTCGTCGGGGAACTCCACCCCCCTTTCAAAAGGAGGGGGGGGGGTCCCGAACCCCCCTTCCCCCCTCCCCCCCTGTGGCCGCCAAATTCGACCCCCCCCCGCTCCCCCCCTTGCGCCACGGCGCCCCCTTTATCCGGAACCCGACCCCAACCACCCCCAACACTACCACCCCGACCACCCGTAACCCTAACCCCAAACCCTAACCCTAGCCCCAAACAGCACTCAGTACTCATCACTCACTACTCACTACGCACTGCTCGCTACTCACTACGCACTTCTCACTACTCACTGCTCACTGCTCACTACTCACGACTCATTACTCACTACACACTACTCGCTACCCACTACCCACTACTCACTACTCACTACTCACTACCCACTACCCAATACTCCCAACTCACTACCCAATACTCACTATCACTACCCACTACGCAATGTTGACTACTCACTAAACGCTACTCACTACCCACTACTCACTACTCATTAATCACTAGTCACTATCCACTACTCACTTCTGAATACTCACAATTCACTACTCACTACTCACTGCCCGCAACTCACTATTCACTATCCGCTGCTCGCTCCTCGCTACTCCCTACTCCTTACACACTACTCATTGCTCACTACTCACTACTCACTACTCGCTACTCCCTACTTGCTACACGCTAACCGATACGCAACATTCACTACCCAGTACGCACGACTCACGACTCAATACTCAGTACTCCCTCATCCCAACCCACTAGTCACTAGTCACACGTCACAACTAACTACTCACTACTCAATACCCACGACTCACTACTCACGACTCACGAATCACTACTCACTACTCTGTACCCGCTACTCCCTACGCACTACCCACTACTCACTACCCACTTCTCATTTCTCACTACTCACTAATCACTACTCCCTACTCACTACTCACGACCCGCTACTCCCTACTCGCTACTCTCTACTGCCTACGCAGTACTCACTACTGACTACTCCATCCTCACTACTCACTACGCACAATGCCCTACTCGCTTCTCACTATTCACTACTCGCTACTCCCTACTCGCAACTAACTACTCACTACTCTCTACTCACTACTCTACTTCCTACTCGCTACGCACTACTCACTCCTCAGTACTCGCTACTACCTACTCGCAGCTCACTATCCACTACTCACTATTCACAATTCAAAATGCCTTGTTCGCTACTTACTATTCACTACTCGCTATTCCCTACTCGCTACTCACTACTCACTACGGATTCCCCACTACCCACTACTCACTACTCACTACTCACTATTCACTACTCACTGCGCACTACTCCCTACTCACTACTCACTACTCACCACTTATTACTCCCTACTCGCTACTATCTACTCACTACTCACAATGCACTACTCAGTACTCACTACTCACTACTCACTACTCACTAGTCTCTACTCACTACTCACTAGTCACTATCCCGCGGCCAGACCGACCCCCCCTCCCTTGCGGGAGAGGCCCCCTCCCCGGTCCCCTGTTCGACGCAAGCGGGGGAGGGGGGGGTCCAGACCCCCCCCCGTTCCAGCGCCAAGGGGGGGAGGGGGGGGGGGTCCCGACCCCCCCCCCTCCTTCAAAGGGGGTTGGAGGGGGGGTTGGAACCTCCCCTCCTTAAGGGGGGGAGTGGGGGTAGGGTGGGGGGGGGTGAAAATCTCACCCCCCCTTGAAAGGGTGGAGGGGGGAGTTCTGCGAGCACGCCCCTCCTTTTTGTGTATTCAGGGTCATCCACTGGCGCGCTTTCACAAACTAGCACACGGGCTCGTGGCGTGGTTGCGACATCTGTGGATGCGGACATCCTCCAGGCTCGGATGGAGGGACACGGTAATGACTGAAGCGAGAGCACAGGCAGGGGAGTGTGCCCGACACGGGCAGCGGGAGGCGGAGCAGGACGGAGGAGGCGCAGGAGGAAGGAGGGGCGCCGTGACCCGAGGGGCGAAGAGAGCGGCCAGATGCTTGCCGCGAGCGGCGGCCGCGCGCCCCCCTGCCAGGCACGTGCAGGTCAGGCTGTGTCGGCGGCGGGCGCGGCGCGTGCGGCGAGGCTCCCTCAGGGGCTCTCGGACGCCACCATGCGTGGTGGGCCTGTTCTCCACCACCACCACCATGAGTTTGAGGGGGGGAGGAGATGGAGGAAAAAGAGGAGGAAGAGGAGGAGGAGGAGGAGGAGGAGGAGGAGGAGGAGGACCCCCATCCCCCTCCTACTTGTGGTGGTGGTGGCGGTGGAAAACGAGCCCACCAATGCGCCTTCGCCGCCGCTGGGGCTGCGCGTTGACGCTGGCCGCCGGCGCACCCTCGGCGGCGCCCGCGGCCGCGAGGTCGCCCAGCTCCGCGCCCGAGCCCGCGGCCGCCTGCGGAGGGTGGCGCCCGCGCGAGATGCGGGGGGCGGGGGGCGCCCGCGGAGTTACCTCGACTCTGCTCGCTGCCGCGCGCCTTCGCGCTCACCTTCCCCTTGGTTCTCTACCACCGCCGCCGCCTCCCCAGGCTCCCTCCGAGATCCCTAATCAGGAGCCCTGGCACCCTCAGAATCTCCTCCTCCTCCTCCTCCTCCTCCTCCTCCGCCTCCTCCCTCCCTCCCTCCCATTCAAACCCCTCTATCCCCCCTTTTACAAACGTAACCTACCCTCCCGCCAACCGCCCCCTATCCCCCCACCCGCCGCCCCACCCACCCTCCCACGCTCTTACACCCCCCCCCCCCGGCCCCCCCCCCCACCCCCCGCCCCCCACCCACCCCCGGCCCCCCCCACCCCCCCGCCCCCCCGTCCCGACCCCGACACTTGGCCCCCCCCCCGACCCCGCCCCATCCCTCCCACCCACCCCCTCCCTCCTCCCTCCCCTCCCCCCCCACTCCCTTCATGACTCCCCCTCCCTCCCCTTCGATTCTATAATTCTCCCCTTCTCCCGCTCTCCCATAACCTCCCCCCCCCCAGCCCATTCCTCCCCCAAGCCCCAAACACACCCCCATCCCCCCTAACCACCCAATCCCCCCCTCCCCGTCCCTCCCTCCTCCTGCCCCGCGCCTCATCCCCTTTTCATGCTCCCCTCACCCCTTTGTGCTCCTCGCCTCGTCCGAGGCCAGCCGGAGCGATGGCGCCGCCCCTCCGAGGGCCGTGCAGCGCGCTGGAGCCCTGAGCCCCCTTGCCCGCCCCAGGCCCCCGGGGCCCCGCCTCCTGGGGCCCCCCCTCGCGGCGCGCAGAGGGGGGCGAGGGGAGGGGTGAAGGCTTCTCAGAAGGGGGCTGCTTCTTAGAAGGCGCCGGCCTGACATGCATAGAGGAGGCCGGCGCCTTCCCCCCTCCCCCATACCCCCCTCGGCGCGTGACCGACACCCCCCCTCCGAAGAGCCCCTTCCAAGACACGGCACTGGTGGGTGGCGCGGCGTTACCGCTCCTCGCTGCAGTCCACGTCCTCGCCGTCCTCGTCCTCATCGCAGCCCTCGTCCTCGCTCCTCGTTCCGCGTCCTGCCGACGGGCGGCGGGCCGGGGACTGGGCCCCAGGGTGTCTCGCCCACGGGTCCCGGCCACGACCCCCCCGCGCCCCCAGGCAGTGGTCGGGGGCCTGCTGGATGCCTTGATGCTGGGGGCAGTCGAGTCTCCAGGAGACGCAGCCTCACCCCGCCCACACCTGGCCTGCGGCATGTGGAATGGGCTCCAGGCCACAACCTTCTTGTGGGCCGTCGTTAACCGTTCAGGCCAGCGTAACATTGATTATGTACGTTGTGTCCGTGGATTTGAGGAGGTGCTACCACCCTCCAGGCGACCACCTTCCTGTGAGCCGCCGACAAGACCAGCGGCGCGTTGAGGACTAACTACCATCTTCCTTTGGCCTGTGGAACTTCGGCGTGGTAGGCGTCGGCGTTCTGGAAGTTGGTGGTCCGGTAGTCTGACGAGTGTGTTCGGAAGAATGCGACCCCTCCGCTTGAGCAGGGACCGACCGTCCCGGCATTCCTAGTAGGCCTACCACGACATGTTCTTAGAACCCAAACATGTTCCCATAACAAAACCAATGTCTTGGGACATAAGGCCGATGTACTCAAGCAAGACAGTCCCAGCCAAGAATGGTCTGAGAACATCTCGTAGAAACCACAACAGAATAAGAACGGATCGAACCGGGAGGGATGCGGGGGTTCGGGCTGGGCCGGACGGCCGGCCGGGGCCAGGGGCAGGGCAGGCCGGGTCCAACCAATGCCGCGGCCAGGGACGCAGGGCTGGGGCCGGCCAAGGCCGGACGGGGCCGGAGCCAGGGCTGGGGCCTGGGCCGGGGCCAGCTATAGGGCCCGGGCTGGGGGCCTGGGCCCGGCGCCAGCTTTGTTTGAGCTCTGTTTGCGCTTGTTTAAGTTTTGTTGGAGCTTTGTTGGCGCTTTGCCTCAGCTTTGTCTGAGCTTTGTTGGAGCTCTGTTTGAGACGTGTTTGAGCTTTGCTATATATTTGCTTGGGCTTTGCTTGAGCCATGTTTGAGCTTTGTTGGAGCTGGGTCTGAGTTTTGTTTGAGCTTTGTCGGAGCTGGGTCTGGGCTTTGTTTGAGTTATGTTTGAGCTGTGTGTCAGCTTTGGTTGAGCTTCGTTTGAGCTTTGTTTGAGCATTGCTTGAGCGTTGAAGCTTTGTTTGAGCTTGCGTCGACGACGACGGCGATTGAAACGGCGACGGCGACGACGATGGCGATGGGCGGGACATTACATGCATCTTTCGCTCGGAGATGGGACAAAGTTGGGGGAACATTCGTTATACCTATAGATGTGTGTATATATACATGTGTGCACATACACACACATATGTATACATCACAACCACGAGGGAAGCCATTCGGGACGTTCAATGCACTGTTCGCTCAGTGATGGGGCGTTCAGTCGGGCGGGCGGGCGGGACATAAAATGAAACCTTCATTCGGTGATGGGACAGGTTGGGGGAAAACATATGACGACCACCGGACACGCCGGCCGAGCGGGCGGTACATTACATGAAACCTTCGACTCGGCGATGGGGCGTCAACATCATCATCATCATCATCATCATCATCATCATCAGCAGCATCGTCATCATCATCATCATCATCGTCATCATCATCAGAATCACCATCAGCATCATCGTCGTCCGCGTCATCGTCATCATTAACAGCAGCAGCAGCATCATCATCATCATCATCACCACCACCTGCATCATCATCGTCGTCATCACCATCATCGTAATCATTAACAGCATCATCAGCATAATCATCATCATCATCAGCATCATCATCACCATCATCCTAATCCTCATCATCATTATCACCATCGCCAGCAGCCCAGGACGGCCTCAGAGGCCCCCCGTAGGGGTGCAGGGGGGGGGGGGGCAGGCACCTGGGCTAGAAGGGCGACGTCATGCGCCACCATTCGAAATGCGGCCCACTTGCCTCGCTTGCCCCACTCGCCGCGCCCGCCCGCGCGGACTCGAGCTTTGTTAAAGCTTTGCTTGAGAGGTGTTTGAGCTTCTTTGTGAGCCTCGCTTGAGCTTTGTTTGAGCTTTATTTGAGCTTTATTTGAGCATTGGGTGAGCGTTGTTTCAGCTTTGTTCCACCCTTGTTGGAGCTTTGTGTCAGCTTTGGTTGACTCTTGTTGAAGCTGTGTTCAGCATGTGATTGAGCGTTGCAGTTGCTTTGTTTGAACTTTGTTGGAGCTTAGCTTTGTTTGAGCGTTGTTCGAGCTCGGTCTGAGCGTTATAAGAGTTATGTTTGAGCGTTGTGTTAGCTTTGTTTGAGCGTTGGTTGGGCTTTATATGACCATTGTGTAAGCGTCATTTCAGCTTCAGTTCCCCCTTGTTCGAGCGTTGCTTCAGTTTTGGTTGACTCTTGTTGGATCTTTGGTTAAGCTTTGTTTGAGCTTTGATTGAGCATTGCGTTTGCTCTGGTTGAACTTTGTTGGAGCTCGGTCTGAGCTTTGTTTGAGCTTTGTTGAAACTGGGCCTGAGCGTTGTTAGAATTATGTTTGAGCTTAGTGTTCACTTTGTTTGAGCTTAGTTTATGCTTCAGGTGAACATTATGTGAGCGTTGTTTTAGCTGTGTTCGAGCTTTGTTTGCGCTTTGTGTGGATGTTTGTTTTAGCTTTGCTGGAGCTTTGTTTCAGCGTTGTTTGATGGTTGTTTGAATCTAGAACAACGACGACGGCGATGGCGACGGCGATGACAACGGGTGGGACATTCAATGCAACCTTCACTCTGCAACTCGGTGATGGGACAAGATCGAGGGAACATATATCACGATAGTCGGGGACGCCGTTCGGGCGGGCGGGATATTCAATTCACGATTCATTCCGCGATGTCGCGTTTAGTCGGGCGGGCGTGCGGGACATGCAATGCAACCTTCGCTCTGTGATGGGACAAGGTTCGCGGAACATGCAACTATCAGAACCACCGGACACGCCGGCAAGGCCGGCGGGACAGTTAATAAAACGTTCACACAATGATGGGGCGTCATCATCACCATCATCATCACCATCATCATCACAACCACAACCGTCATCATCATCATAATCATCAGCATCATCGTCACCATCATCGTCATCACCAGCAGCATCACCATCATAATCGCCGGCAGCCCAGGAAGGCCTCAGAGACCCCCCGTACGTGCACAGGGGGGGGCAGGCACCTGTGCGAGAAGGGCGGCGTCATGCGCCACCACTCGAAATTCGACCCATTCGCCTCACTTGCACTGATTGTCGCGCCTGCCCGCGCGGGCTCGAGCTTTGTTTGAGCTTAAATTGAGTTTTGTTGGAACTTTGTTTGCACGTTGTTGGGGCGTTGTTGGAGCGTTGGTTGACATGTGCTTGACATTTGTTTGAAGTTTGTTTGAGCTTTGATTTGGCTTTGGTTGAGCAATGGTTTGCTTGATTGAAGCTGTGTGTGAGTTCTGTTTGAGTTTTGTTTGAGCTATCTGTGAGCTATGATTTAGTTTTGATGGATCTTCGTTTGTGATTTACCTTTGTGTTAATTTGGTGTGAGCTGTGTCTGAACTATGTTTGAGCTTTGTTTGAACTTTGCTGGAGCTCTGGATCAGCCATGCTTGAGCTTTGGCCCCAGGAGGCAAACATCGCCACATCCTTAAGAGTGGCCCAGCGGGGGGCACTACGAACTGACGCGTCGAGTCTTTCCCGCCGCGATGGCCCCAAAAGCTCACCAGCGATCCCCGAGGCGCCCCCGAGAAGCCCCAAGAGGCTCCCAAGAGGCACCCGAGGGGTGCCCAAGGGACCCCCACAACGCAAATCAATTTCCCCCAGGAGCTTTCCAAGAGGCCCCATGAGATGCATGGGGACCCTGGCATGCATCCCAAAGGCTCCGGACCCACAGGCCAAGCACGGCGCCACGACTCTGGACGAATTCCCGCTTGTGGAAACCGGCGGAATGGCGCGAGCCTCTTGAATGACCCTCCAAACGCGCACGTGCCCCCCTACCCCCGCGGCGGAGAAAGGGGGAATGGGCTGCTCATTTTCTTGAGTAACAATGGGCTGCAGGATTTCGGGCCATAGCCCAAACAGTCTGCATATATTTTGATATCATCATGTATATCGGTAAAACTACAAACTTCCCAGCACCTCTCCTTGGGAGCAGGGGAGCGGCTCGGCCTCCAGTCGAGAAGCGCGAGCAAGGCGCCAACTTTGCGGCCCCTTCAGCGGGCCTTCCGCGGGGCCCCCGCGGGCCCTCAGCCCGCGCGCGGGTCTAACCGCCGCGGGCAGGCGCGGGACGACTTGAAGCCGAATCGTTAGCTCAGCCTCGGCTGTCGCAGTGCTTCCTGCGGCGATCCGTCTAGCTCGCTGGGTGGATCAGCTTCGAGCCATCGGGGCGCTCTCGGCACTCGCTCTTGCACGTCTCCCCCACTCCTGCGCGGCCTCAGAATTACTCAAGTCCTGTAGGTTGATCCTGACCAGGAGTCCGCGCAGCGTAGCCGTCACTCTCAGCTGCTCAATCTCCTTGGCCTGGCGATCCGATAGGACGTTGTCCTTCTTGATCAGCCGCATGATCAGGTCGTCTTCGAGACCGCTCACATGCAGGCCTTTGGCTCTCAAGATCTGCGTCAGGTCGACCACGAGACACGCGTTGAAAAGCTCGTGCTCGCTCCTCCGTCGCATCGTGCTGGGCGAGGCTCTGTGCCAAGTCCTTGTACTACATGTCCGGTCTTGATCTCCGCGTCGGCCCGCGTGGCCAGGCAGACGTCGGCGTCTCCAGGAGCGGGGTCAACCGCCTTCTGGATGAAGTCCTTCTTGAGGTAGCTCCTCGCGTAGCAACCGCACGCGCAGCCTATGACAAACGCTGCAGCGATCACCGCGAAGACACCCGTCTTCAGGATGAACCAGAACTCCTCGCGATCCACGCAGTGGGGCACAGGTGCGGGGCAAACCGCTAGCTGGCCTGGCTCCTCGTGCACCGTCACCCTCTCGCCTGACGCAGAAGTCACGACTCCCGTGGAAATGGCCATCGCGCTCAAGCCCTTGTACTGTTTCCCGAACATGAGGTTCAGAGTTGCGCGGTGCTTCTCTATCGTCGACCACTCGCTGTACTTGGTGACCATGTCTGCCGTCATCTCGTTGGCGTCCTCCTTCAGGAGCTCAAACGCCTTGAGTCGCAGCCGCTCTTGAATCCATAAGTACCTCAGTTCCAGGTGCCTGACCTTGCCCACGCCAATTCTGCTGCACATGCCCCCCCCCCTCCCCCGCGGTGCTGTCGCTGTAGATCTTCAAGTTGCAGGGCCTCTTGGTCTCGATCAGGCCGGTCTTGCACTGGAGTCCTCTGGCAGTCGCACTGCCTGCAGCATGCATCTCGGGTTCCCCTGAGCTTAGAGCTATGGTGCTCTGCGTCGCTGAGTAGCAGTCCCATGTGTGGTCACCATCCCGCACTGCTCCTCCGCTCGTGAATCGTCTCTGAAACTCGCTTTTAGAGGCCCAGTCTGCATCGCCCTCCACACGAATGCCGTCAGGAGTACCCTGTAAAGGATAACGCCAGACCAGCACAGGCTGTCCTTCATAGTACCGTCCAAGCCGCTGAACTCGCGCATGCATTAGGACGTTCGGGTTTGAGACGCGCTGCATTGCGGTCTCGCTGGCATGCATCGTGTCGGGCCTGTCCGAAGAGAGGTAGAGCGCCGTGCCTGCTGCACCTGCAACTTCCCGGGCTCGGTCCTTGGACAGAAGGTCTATGCTGTCTCGTCGTCCTTGTCCTGTAGCTTTCGCCCCTGGAGTAGGCGCTGGCTTGCACCCTCGCTTCTGTGTCCACTGAATCATGAAATCCACGTGCCTGGATCCTCTGAGCCTGGCGGCTTGCCGGTGTGCCCGATGGTCCTCTTGAGGTAGTTCGTCCGCCCAGGTCTTCCAGGACCCAGTCTGGCACTCGCTGCGACCTCGAACTGCTGCTTCAGCAACTCGCCCAGCTCGCACAGCTGCTCATCGTAGCTTTCGGCCAGAAAGTCATCTCCGCAGCAGATCGCTGCACTGTCCTTGTCGACGGCAGGGAAGTTGGGATCCGCTGGTATGTAGAACACATTGGGCGTCGCCGCCAAGCATTCCCAGCGGCCGTCGCCCACGGTAGTCCGCATCAGCTCCCCCCACATCTGAGATGCCTTCCCGGTGCCGTTGATGGCCTTCCACAGCCACCAGCACCTTACAGGAGGGCACAGCTCGCGTCCAGGATGAACGTAGATCGCCTCATCACGGTCGGCGTTGAAGAAAACCTTCCCGACGTCCCAGACCTGTAACATCCGATTGTGCTCTCCCGTCGAAGTAGGGTTCGATGCGGCACGGCTTAGCGTCGCCCTGACCATCATGAGCGGCGGCGCGCGTTGGCGGTGGTCCTCGCGCACCTCGTGCTTGTTGATCTCCGTCGCCACGAACCTCCACCGACTCGGCCTTCCTTCACATGGGCCATGGGGAAGCCTCCGATATGCTTGCCATCAGTCGCCGTCGACGTCGCCACCTCCACGTCGACTCCATAGTCCTTCATGGCCTGGGGCTCGTCGTCGGGGCCTTTCTGGTGCAGATCCTCGCCCAGGGGTTCTCCAATGTAGTAATCGTAGTGCAACGCCTTTGGGCTCCACTGGTCGTACTCGTGCAACTCGGCGCTGACCTCAAAAATCTGCCCGATCTGATCCTCGTCAGATTCTCCTGAGTGACTCTTGACCGTGCCGATGAGCTCATCCGGAAGCGCCTGCATGCACCCTCACTTCGGCGGCACTCCCGCACCTGGCATCTCGACGAATGCTTCTCACGCCTATCCGAGCATCTTGAACTTCGCTTCGGGTGTGGACCCCACATCGGGCCGAACGTCTCGTCGCAGCCTTCCTCGCAGATTGCCAATTCACAGACAGAGAGCATACCAATGGTCGCTACTCTCGGCTTCTTGATCTCCACTTCGGCCCTTGGGTCTCCTGGGGCGCCTCGGTGGAAGTCGCCCCTGATCTGATCAGGTTCCGTCTGCATGGCTGTCTGCGCTTCTGCCTCTCCTGGGACAGGAGGCCACGTCCTCTGCAGCAGGTGCGGTTGCTACCGCTACCTCGCTGCTGCTCAACGCCGCCGCTGGTCCAGCCGCTGCCCCAGGCGCGGGGGCGCCCGCAGCCGCGGACGGCGCCGCTGCCGTAGCCTCTGGGGCCACTGGGTCCTTCTCCAACTTCTCGCGCAGGAGGTCGGCCTGGATGGTCTCGAAGCGCCGACGGCAGGCTGACGTATGCGATCCATATCCAGCGCTGCATTCCCTGCAGTCGTCGGTCGGGCCGCGAACGTCGATCATGCGCTCCGCGATGTACATGCTGCGCCCGATTGGCCCTGCACTCTTGTCAAGGATGTGCTTCCACGGCGTCGCCCTGATGTTCTGGATTCGCTCAGGCTGCCACCGAAACTCCTCCGGCATCCCCCGCGCGGCCCTGACCTTCTGCGCGCCGCGCCCCGGGTCGACCACGAAGTGAGCGTCGTCTCAATCGTTCTTTCCAACCCAGACCTCGGCGCAGCCAGCTCTCTGCTTGGAGAAAGGCGGCGATCCCCGCGCCAAGGTCGAGCGGGACCTGCGATCTCGAACTGCATTCGCCCGGGCCATCGCGGCAGGCCCCTGGCCCGTCTGAAGCACAGCTGTCGCGTGGCCCCAGATCTCTAGCACAGCTGTCAGGAGGAAGGACACCTTGCAATCATCCAACTCTTTGTTAGCATACAGCGCCGCCCGCGCCAGGATCTTGCAACCGACCACGTTCAGGACCGCGATCGCCTTTTCGAGATCTGCTTTCGTTGCCAGCGGCTTCTCGCGGATGCTGAAGCAGCCTCCTTTGAGCTTGTGCTTGGCCGCCAGCTGGTCAGTTCCAACGTGGAAGATGTCGAACACCACCTTCGGCGCTTGCTCCTCGCCCGCTGGCTCCAGCATGCAGCGCGGACCGTCGCCCGCCCGAGCTTCCGCGCACAGTGGGTGCCAAGGGCGAAAAGGTAGGCGATGCCCTTAGCGCGCGGCCCTCTTCGCAGGACTAGGTTGGTCGTTTGACTTCAGCACTCTCGTCGGCGCAGTCGTAGTCTCGCCCGCTGCTACTATCCGGCTTCTTGCTCAGCTGGGTCCATCCGCGGTAGCGTATTCCTCGCTGCTGCTATCCGCGTGGCTTCTGGCTGGGTATTGCCGTCTACGAGGTGATCGCATTCTAAGTAGTAGTTGGCCTGATGACGTCGTAGAGGTACGAACTCAGATCCTTCAGGTGGCTCGATGGTGCCGTCGATGATCCAGTGACCTGCAGGGCTATGGGGAATGCTCTGGCCCCGTTGCGCCACCGCATCTGCGGCCACGACATCAGCAACTTCCGCGCCAACTTGGATGACCTCTCCTCAACTGGACAGGTCAAGCTCCGCATGGCCGTACCTCCCGATCCCCTCGCCTCCGATGCCCTTCAAGCCAACGACATTGCTGGTCATCGGAGTGCAGTTGTACTGGGCCGCCTGTTTTCTTGGCACTGCGCTGATCTGCGCGCCTGGGTCGAGCACGCTGGCACTCCGAAGCGGTGCTATCCGCAGTCGGTCGCCCTCTGGCACTTGCTCGCGGAGGCCTCCGATCTCGAGCAGCACGGGTCCGACCGCAGCTGACTCGCAGCAGCTACAATAAGTCGGACTTGGAGCGCTCGTGCTTGTCCAGGCAGTATTCTGCGCACGTCCCGCAGGAAACAAGTGTCCACTCATGGTAGCGCCATCTTCTGCCCCTGCACATCTTCTTACACGAGGGGCAGATGAACTCGTGGTTAGGGGGGCAGGGTGTACTTCCAGTCGATCATGTGGGCTCGTGATTTGTGACCTCGGCCCTCAGGCCCAGAATCATCCTCGCCCGCAGCCCTCTGCAGACTGGCGAGGCGACGGGCAATGTCGCTGCGCCCTCGGCACTGCCGTGCGCCCCTGGCAGAGGCTGCGCCCTTTACTGCTGGTGCCGCGACCCTCTTCTTCTCTTTGACCTTTTCTTTTCTGCGCTGCTCCTTGTCCCTGTTGTCTCGGTTGGCGGCTGCCTTCTTCTCGTCGGCGATCCGCTCGCGGCAGCTGGCGCTCAGGTGGCCTTTCATAGTTGCACCCCAGGTCGGCGTCTGGGTTCGGCGGCCCCTCCTTGCCCTTGCCTCCCTTGCCTTGCCGCGGTCTTGCCGCGCCTTCTTGCCGCCCTTCAACCCGCCGGTGCCCATCGGATCGTCGTGGACCGCTCGCTGCGCCGCCAGCGCCGACACGACTTCGGCTCGCAGGAGCTCGCACGTCTTCAGCCGACTGCTGTTCCGAAACACGCGCCTCTGCAACTCGGCATGATCCTTGAGCGCGTTGGCGAGGAGTCCTCGCTTGATGAGATCCGACACGGGCTCGCCCGAAATCTTCTGGTACCTCGTCATGTCCTCGTCGAGCTTGCTGATGCTCACCATCACGTCGTCTGTTGCCTCGGACCTCGTGTCCGTAAGCTTGGTCCACATCGCCAGCACGTTGCCTGTTTCGCTTGGGTTGTACTCCTTCTGAAGCTGCCTCCAGCAAGCTGCTCCTTCGCCAGTGCTGTTCCTGACGATCATCTCGCCTACCGAGTCCTCGGGCATGACTGGGGCGAGGGCGAAGTACAGCTGCGTGCTTAGCTCCTGCTCTTGGGCAGACAGGTTCACGTCGTCCACGTCCTGCGCTCCATCTTCGCACTTCTCGAGAAGAGGTCGGTACCTTCGGCCTTGCGCGATCAGGTAGGCTTTGCACTGGAAGCTAGACGTATTCCAGCTCGCTCTCTGACCGTCGAACGGCTTAACTTTGTGAAGAATCTCCGGGTCCATCATCTCGCCACGGGGCCCTCGTTCTCTGTCGGCTTGTCCTCGAAGTTGGCCTCGCATCTCGGCTATCGCTAGATCTCTCTGCTGAAGCTCGTTTTTTCATATGCTGACTCTCTGTCATCAGCCTCTACTTGCTCGACCAGTTGTCGCACTTGGCCCTCCATCTTCCTGGCCGGCCTTCGCCTGACGCTGGAGATCGAACGCGAGCTGTCTCTTCACCGCTGGTCGCCCCCCTTCTGTAAGCTGAGCCGCGTCACCGCACTCGGCCAGCTTCTTCCAGGCGCTCCCTCGATTCTGGCGGTGGGCTCTAGCCTTTGGGGCTCTACCGCCGCGCTCGTTCGCCTTCTTAGCCTTGCGCTGGCTCGCAGGCTTAGCCTTGAACTTGCTCGAAGGCTGTAGTCGAACTCTCGTTCTGACCTCGTTGCCAAGGCGCGGGTCCGCCCGCAGTTCTGGCCAGCAAGGGGTATTCCGTTGGAGAACAGCGCGGATCGTCTCGCAATTGCGTCCGCGGTCCTTCCGCCGCTGGGTGTCGTCGAAGGGCTCCTGGAGCTCGCCGGGTGCGGAGCTGGCCCGCGAGACTCAAGCGAGCTCCGCTACGATGCACGTGCTCCCCTGCCCCCGTGGCGGAGGAAGGGGGAAGGAGGGCTGCTCTTTTTCTTGAGCAACAAAGGGCTGCAGGATTTCGGGCCACCGCCCAAACAGGCTGATTCGATCTTGATATAATCATATAGGTCCGTAAAAGTACAAACTTCCCAGCAAAACGCAAAACTAAAATAATGGTTTGCTTATAGTGTTTGCCAAATGTTCTCCTACTCGGTTCATCTCGGTTCTTCGGTCTGCCTGGCGTCCGAGACCGCCTAGGATGCCCCGAACTTCTTCCAAACGACTCCAAACAGCTTGCAGAGAGTCCAAGAGAGCCCCAAGATGGCCCAACAGGGCCCCTGACGGCCCAAGATGGCCCCAAGCCGACTCTTGAAGCACTCCATATCGTGACCCAGTCGCGAGGGAGGTCGTAGTTCACAGCCACATGGCCCGACGAAGCCAACACGGAACGATCGCTGATTTTACTGCTTCACTTCTCTCTCTCTCTCTCTCTCTCTCTCTCTCATTACGCCCGCAGGCCGAAGTTGCAGGACCAAGTAGCATGGCGCGAAGCGTCAGTGCAGTCTTGTATTTACATACAAATAATTGATATACGCACGAGTGGTGCGGTAATGTCGCCTCGGGTTGCAAATCTCTGGTCCGTCTGGCCGGCTCCGAACTCCTGAACGCGCCAACGTTGACCTCTCTTAGGAAGTAAACTTTTACATCCGCAGGGTTCTGCTGGCCAGTCCACCAAATTCTTCTTACTTCCGCCAGCTTCTGCCGGCCCTCCGCCAGCCTCCGCCGAGGACGAGGTGGCAATGTCCCAGTGCCTCCACACAAAGGCGCCCTTGCTGGAACGCCCAGACTGTGCCACCAGACGGTTTGTGGGGGAGCGCGCCCCATGGACCTCCGACCAGCATCCGCCCCCTGCGAACCTGCCAGCACGCCCAAAGAGATCACCAGAACCGCCCGCGCTCTCTGAAGCAATCGTTCGGGGGCGTCCAAGAGGGGGGCGTTTAAGAGAGAGGGGGGGGCGAAAATCATGGCCAGCGGCATGTGTGCGGCCCAGTGAGGGCTCGGGGACGCATTGGCATAAGAAGAAGCGCCATGAAACCTGGGGAAATATCCTGGCACACGCCATGCTATCCACCCCGCTAGTCATCACCCCCCTTTTGGCCGCCCCCAGAGAAGGCGGGGACCCCACTCGGAGGGCCGCCCCCTCGCTCTGCCATCGGCTACACGCAAGAGTGACCCTGGGTAAGGGTGACCTTTGATGCGCGGCTCCTTGGGGGCCGCGGGGGGGCCGAACACAAGCGCGCAAGACGCCACTGCAACCTCACGTCCGGCGATCGGGGGACCCCAATGAGCCCGCACCAAAGGTCACTCCGGCGAAGGGTCACTCTTACGTGTAGTCGATGCCCCTCCTCTGGGGCGCCGCCGACGGGCGGAGCCCCAGCCGGCCTCCGCCTCCGCCCGGCCGGTGGCGGCCACAGCGGCAGCATCGTCGTCGGCGGCCTCGGCCTCGGCCGGCCCGGGACCAGCAGCGGCGGGCGCGTCCTGGGAGGGAGGGATGGATGGAGGGAGGGACGAGAAGGAGGAGGAGAAAAAGAAGGAGGAGGAGGAGGAGGAGGAGGAGGAGGAGCAGTGCAAACCACAAGACCCATCATCGATGCTGCAGGAAGCCCTCCCGCAAAATTTCTTCGTCATGCAGTAGATCCCTACAAAGATTTATTTTCACTGCGGGGAACGCCCCGTTGAAAGTCAACCGTATGAAAATCCTGAACCGTGCCAAACACCATGCCTGGGACTTCAACTCCGCGAATCAACCTTACTGTTGCATCCTGACGGTCCTGAATCGTGCCAGGACATCATTGCTGACCCTTCCACACCGCGAATTAGCGTGACTGGTGCGCCCTGACAATCCTACATCGTGCCAAAACACAATTTCTGGGACGTCGTCAATAAGAAACCTTGAAACTGTTGTACAGTGTTAAGACGTGTGCGCGCGGCACGGAGGCGAGATCTACAAATTGAAAACGGCCCGCCCGCCATCCGCTAAAGAGGGCCGACGGAAAGCTCCAAGACGGCTGAAGGCCTCCAAGACGGCCCCAGAGGGCCCCAAGACGCCCCAAGAGGCCTCCAAGAGGCTTCCCAAGAGGGCCCACAGAGGCACAACTCATTGATTGTTCTGTGGTTTTTGATTGTTTTGGGGGTTCTTGCCTTTTCCAAGAACGGCCAAACACTCCAAAGATCGTCCCCAGACGGCCCACGAGGCTCCCAAAATGAACCGAAAATCGTCCTAATTAGAAAACTCCAAACAGCCTCAGAGAGCCCCAAAACGGCCCAAGAGGGCCCCAAGACGGCCCCAAGAGAGCCCCAAGAGGGCCCAAAGAGGCCCCCAGGAGGGCTCCCAGAGGCCCCAAGAGAGCCCCAAGACGGCCAAAGGCCTCTCAAACGCCCCAAGACGACCCCAAAGGGCCCCAAGACAAGCCAAAAGGGCACCCAAAGGCCACCCAAAAGACCCCCCTATGAAGCCCCAGAGACGCCAGGCAACACCATGGCTCCCAACAACAGGCGGTGGCGTAACAAGCTCTTAACACCACGGCTCCCCAGAGCACGGTGATGCAAAAAGCTCTGAATCTCTGAATAGCAAGGCTCCCAAGAGCGAGCGGCAACGTGAAAGTCTCTGAACACCAGGGCTCCCAACAGAGAGCGGTGAAGTAACAAGCTCTTAATACCAAGGCTCCCAAGAGCGAAGGGTGCCATGAGCCATCTCGGGCGATATCCTGCAACGCTCTTTCCGTTCCCGAGCCGGCCCAGGTAACGGAAAGAGCGAGGTACGAGCGATGAAGTCCTTGTTGGGCGAAGCCCTCTGGGGAGGGGTTCCAGTGGAGGGGGATAGGCCAGCCTACCGGCATCAAATGCCCAGCCTTCCTCATATTTTGCTCGAATGAAGCGGATTCAAGGCGGCTCCAATGGCCCGATTACCCGTAAGTGTTCGAGTGAAACGGCTGAAGGGCCCCAAGAACCCCCAAGAGGGCCCCAGAGGGCACCAAGACGGCCCCACCAGCCCGTGCCACACGCCTCGCACAGTGCCCCGAGCGCCCGCCAGGCCGGCGAGGCCCGCTGGCGGACCCCCACCCCCGTCCTCAGGCAGCTGCTTCGCTTTGCCGAGCCTCCCCCGCTTCGCGGGCGGCTCCGCCGCGGCGGGCGGATCGGCCTCGCCCGCCGCCGCCTCCTGCACCCCCCGGCCGCGGCCGCGGCCCCTGCCGCGCGCCGGCGCGCGGTCCCGCGCCGGCGCCTCGCGGGCGGCCTGGCCGCTCTGGCGCCGCGGCGCGCGCCTCTTCGGCTCTGCCGCTGCCTCCGCGGCGGGCGGCTCGGCGGGGGCCGCCGCGGCGGGCGGCGCGGCCGCGGCGAGGCCGCCGCCGAAGCCGCGCCCACCTCGCCGGGCCGAGGCGGCACCTCGGCGAGGGCCGCGGGGAGCGGCTCCGGCGCGGCCGCAGCGGGCGCCGCCTCGGGCAGCGCGCGCTCCGCGGGTGGGCCCGGCGGCGGCGGGTCGGTCAGCGCCAGCCTCGGGGCGGCCGCGGGGTCGGGGCGCGGCGAGGGCAGGACGTCCTCCAGCTGGAGCGCTGGGGGCGGGCCTGGGGCTGCCAACGTGGTCCTCCTCCCTCCTCTTCTTGCGTCAGCCCCCCCCCCCCGGCCTCTCGTCCTCACTCTCCCCGCGCTGCCTCTGAACTGGAGTGCGGAAGAGAGACGGAGGAGGGGTGAAGTGGAGAAGGGCTCACCAGGGACTGGGAGTGTACGGGGAGTGTCCCACGGCCTCCCAGCAGGTGGTGCCTGACCAGGTCGCAGAGGTAGTCAATCTGCTCGTCGGTGAAGCGGACATAGCAATCGGAGAGGACCCCTGAGAACAGCACCGGGTCGCAAGGCGCGAGGTTCAAGATCTGCACGACCTCCGCGTCGCTCACAGGAAACCGAGATATGCCAGCCAGGAACGCAGAGAGACAGGCTTCCTCGCAGCGCTGGACCATGGGGTAGCACTGCTCAAAGTGCCTGCTGATGTTTGTTGCGCTCTCCTCCCGGCGACGCAACGTCTCCATGTCGCTGCGTATCGCAGGGTCCACCGTCGCCAGCCGTCTCTCCCGCTCTGCTGTACTAATGTCCTTCTTAAGGAATTCCAGCTCCCTCTTGACGACAACGCTTACCTCCTGGTTTGTCAAAGGGCAGAGGTCCACCTGAAGGATCTTCATGTCACAAAGGAATTCTTGCCGACCATGGGCGCAGGAGGCAGCAGGCTTCAGGGCATCTGTGCGATGGGCCTTTCGCCAAAACGGTTGTGGTGGCCAGGTGGGGGGGAAGCGGAGCGGAAGAGAGCAGAGTGGAGTTGAGAGGAGTGGAGGAAGAGACACAAAGAGAGAGATAGTATATTAATGAAGAGGGGAGATCAGAAGAGCAACGTCAGGAAATGGTGAACCAGGAGGAGGAGATGATAAGAGTTGAATTGTCCTCCTGCTCCTCCTCACCAGTCAGAATCAGGAGGCCGAAAGGTCATTCATTGTCCATGGGCGCGTGGCTGAAGTGAGGATCCGTGGTGAGGATTATGCTGGTTGCGTTGTTGATGTTGCTGTTGTTGTTGCTGCTGTTGTTGTTGTTGTTGCAGTATGTTAACTACTAAACTCTTATTATTGTTGGATACCCCCCAAGTGCTTGAGTGCTCTCGCCTCGGCGCCGGCTACATTTCCGTTGAAAATGAGGCTCACGCTCGAGCGGTTTGTGGGGGCGCCAAAACCAGCCCCCAACAACAACAACGCTCCCGCTCGAGACTTCCGCTTTTTGTTCAAGGCCGGTGCTCTTGCTCGCCGCCGAAAGCCGCCGTCCAAACAAAACCAGCGCTACCGCTCGAGACGTCCTCCCGTTTTACCTTGGACTGGCGCGGTACTCTTTCAGCAAGAACAACGCTCCCGCTCGAGGCTTCCTCTTTTTTTCCTCAGGACGGTGCCCTTCCTCGCCGCCGACAGCCCCCGTCCCGACAAAACCACGGCTCCCGCTAGAGACTTCTCCCCTTCTTACTCAAGGCGGTGTTCCTCTTCGCCGCCGACAGCCGCCGTCCCAACAAAACCCGCGCTCCCGCTTAAGACTTCGTTTTGGTTTACGCTGGACTGGCGCCCTACTCTCTTCAGCATTGGCGCCGCTCCCAGCAACAACAGCGGCCCTGCTCGAGGCTTCATCCCTTTCTATTCAGGGCCAGGTCCTTGCCTTGCCGCCGACAGCCCCCATCCCCACCAAGGCAATCCTGTCGCTCCATACTTAACCTTGGCTGGGGCTCCACTGGCGGTCTCGCATCGGCGCAGCAAGGCGCGGGCATGCGTCTTCGAGGCGGGATATGTTGAAATTCCTCGGAGGAGATGTTTGCAAGACCTCATTGGGCGGGAGATCTGGGAATGGGAATAACGGACCCCGCTATAGAAAAAAGAGTCCCCCATGATGGGGATGGTTATCATGAGGGTCGCATGCTTCGAATGGAAACATCGCGCATGTGGGTAGAATGGTTGTTGTTGCTGATGTTGTTGTTGATGTTGTTGTTGTTGGTGCTGGTGTAGTTGTTATTGTTGTTGGTTTATTTGTTGTTGGTGTTGTTGGTGGTGGTGTTGCTGTTGTTGGTGTTGCTGTTGTTGTTGTTGCTGTTGTTGTTGCTGTTGTTGTTGTTTGTTGTCGTCGTCCCACCCGCGACCCACCCAGCGACCCACCCCGCGACCCACCCCGCGACCCACCCCGCGAACCACCCCGCAACCAACCTGCGACCCACCCCTCGACCCACCCGCGACCCACCCCGCGACCAACTCGCGGCCCACCCGGCGACCCACCCACGACCTACCCAGCGATCCACCCCCGACCCATCCGCGACCCACCTGCGACCCACCCGCGACCCACTTGCGACTACCCGCGACCCACCCCGCGACCCACCCGCGACCCACCCGAAACTCACCCACGAACCCACCAGCGACCCACCCGCGACCCACCCGCGACCCACCAGCGACCCACCCGCGACCTACCCACATTGGCTCAACGAAACATCGGCGCCTGCGGCGGGCTCGTTGTACGATTTGTGAAATATTGGCTCCTGCGGCGGGATTCTCCAGAAACTCACAAACTGCCGTCGTCCCATCGCTCCCTCACTCTTATCCGCATCTGCGGGGTGCTAGGTATTCAGCTCTTTCTCCCCCTGCTCTTCCTGCTCCTCTCCCCCCCCGCCTCCTGCTCGTCGTTGTTATCCTCCTGCTTATTATCCTCATGGTCCTCATCCTCTTCTTGCTTATGATGTTCCTCCTCCTCTGCCTCCACCTCCTCATCCCCCATGAAACCGTCCTCCTCCTCCTCCTCCTCCTCCTCCTCCTCCTCCTCCTCCTCCTCCTCCTCTGTCGCCGTTTCCTCTGGAAATTCCCAGAATCACACTGATACTGTCCTACCTGAAGAACCTCTCCCTCCACATCATCCTTCACCTCTCCTCCCACGCCCCCCCCCCTCCGCTGCCCTCGTCCTGCTCCTCTTCCTCCTTCCCCCGCGCTCCTAATCGCCCCTCCGACATCTCTGTCCCCTTCCTCCTTGCCCCCCCATTCAACCCGCAAGGGTGATACAATTGACTGATTGGCTGGTCGGTTTTAAGATTACGATTCGTGCGCCTGAATACACGCATGCATCTCTCTCTCTCTCTCTCTCTCCCTCTCTCGCTCGCGCCCTCCCTCTCTCTCTCTCTCCTTCTCCCTCTCTCTCTGTCTCTCTCCCTCTCTCTCCCTATGCCATATTATCACACTCATGTATATGTATATGTGTGGGTGCGTGTGTGTGTGTGTGTTTGTGTGCGTGCGTGTGTGCTTTTGTGTTCGGGTGCGGGTATGTGTGTGTGAAGGTGTGTGTGTGTGCGTGTTGCTGTGTATGCGTGTGTGGGTTATGTTATGTTGCGTAGGTGTGTGGGTGTGCGCGTGTGTGTGTGTGTGTGGGTGTGGGTGTGTGGGTGTGCGTCTGCGGGTTGTGTTATGTTGTGTGTGTGCGTGGGTGTGCGGGTGTGTGAGTGTGTACGTGTGTCGGTATCTGCTGCCCGCGCTTGAGGACCCTCTGCGCCGCCGACTTCAAAGTGTGTACGTGTGTCGGTGTGTGCGTGTGTTCGTGTGCGTGTGCGTGTCCGTGTGCGTGCGCGTGTGGGCATGCGCATGTGCGTATGCATGTGCATGGGCATGTGCACGTGTGCCTTGTGCGCGTTTGACGTCTTGGCCTCCCGTATGATGTCTGAGCCCCCTGGCGGAAGTAATCCGCTCGCCGTGCGGGATGTCATCCACACTCTCTCTCTTCTCCTGTCGTCGTCTCCCCCTCCTCGCCGTTTCTCACAATTACACAATATGAATACTACTTTCGTCTCTCCCCTGATGACGTCGGGAAGATATCCGGCCCCCCTCCGCGTACTGTTCTTTTACACCCAGGATTGCCGGGAAATGGGCTTTCGGTTGCGTAATGTATATATATATATATAAATAAATAAATAAATAAAGCTATCGAATTTTATGGTGTAACAAGTTGCTCGCGCTGAAGCGCTGGCCTCATTTCCGCGCTTCCGCTCGTCCCGAATCGTGCTCCCGCTGCAGCGCCGGCGTCATCATTTCCAGTGCCATGCCACGGTCTGGTTTTCGGTCCTTCCAAACAAGCCCCCAAAGTCTAGAGAATGCCCCCCCCCCCGACAAAACCACCGGAGGTGATTACACGTTCGGTGTCGGCCGCAGAAGCCCCCCCACTTTGGGGCGTCGCCACGCCATGCTATGTCATGCTACGCGTTGTTCTTCAACACCATGCTACGGCATGTAACGCTGTGCCATGCTGCGATATCCGATTGCGCGAATCGGAGAAATATCTACGCCAT